TGTGTGCAGGTGGGCTGGGGAGCAGGTGGGAGTGAGCAGACTGGCACTGCAAGGAGGGCTTCCAGTTCACCGTGGCTCTGATTCTACCAGGTCCTTCATCCCGGATCAGCACATGGTGTTCTGCCCTGAGCAGCTGCTCCGCGTGATCCTCGCTCACATCCACTACATGCCTGACCACTGGCAGGGTAATGCCCACCGCTCGCAGACCCGGGACGAGTTTGCCCAGCTCTTCCAGTACAAGGCAGTGAGTGGAGTTGGAGTTAGGGCCTGCTAGAGACTGGCTGGTAGCTTGGCGGTCATGGCTAAGGTCCTTCTTGCTTGCTTGTGACCTTGGTCCCCTCTCTTTTAGGTATTTATCTTGGAAGAGTTGCTGAGCCCCATTGTCACACCCCTCATCCTCATCTTCTGCCTTCGTCCACGGGCCCTAGAGATCATAGACTTCTTCCGCAACTTCACCGTGGAGGTCGTTGGTGTTGGGGATACCTGTTCCTTTGCTCAGATGGATGTTCGTCAGCATGGTCATCCCCAGGTACTGGGACTGGAGGGAGGAAGATAGCCAGGGATGATGCTGGCACATGGTGTCTTTGTGCAAATTGCAAAAAGCTACGCTTTGTGAGCCAGCAAGTCACAAAAAGGCAGCCGTGCCTCTTCTGGGCAGCCCTGTTTGGTAACCAGGAGCCAGGGCTACATTTTGGCCCTAATTTGCACTGCTGGCCAAGCTCCCTTAAGAAAGGCACAATACAAACAAGTGGCCTGGGATGGAACTCTGGGCAATGGACAATATATTACATTGCAGTCCTTGTGCTCCAGGACAGCACATCTCCTGTACCAGGAAAGACTCCTGTAAGAAATCTGCTTACTGGGGCTGGGGGTTTAGCTCAGCGGCATAAGCACCTGCCTTGCAAGCAGGCAGTCATGAGTTCCATCCCTGGTACCGATAAAAATGAAAAAGAAAAAAAAAAAAAAAAAAAGAAAGAAATCTGCTTACTGTGTTTTGCTTGTGCAGTGGCTGTCTGGTGGACAGACCGAGGCCTCGGTATACCAGCAAGCTGAAGATGGGAAGACAGAATTATCACTCATGCACTTTGCCATCACCAACCCTGGCTGGCAACCACCTCGTGAGAGCACAGCTTTCCTGGGTTTCCTGAAAGAGCAGGTTCAGCGGGATGGAGCAGCTGCTGGCCTTGCTCAAGGGGGTCTGCTCCCCGAAAATGCCCTCTTCACATCTATCCAGTCCTTACAGTCAGAGACTGAGGTGTGTTCCCGGGGACCGGAGAGGATGGGCAGGAGCAGGAAGCCAAGGACAGGACATGGGATGGAAAGTTTGGAGGGACAGGGCCAGTCTGCCCAATCTGTGCACCAGGTCCAGAGGTAAAGAATGCTAGTGGGCCAGAGACCTTTCCTGTGCCCTGAGAATTCTGCCCACTCCTTTTTCTCACAGCCTCTGAGCCTTATTGCAAATGTGGTAGCTGGCTCATCCTGCCGGGGGCCCCCACTGCCCAGAGACCTGCAGGGCTCCAGGCACAGGGCCGAAGTTGCCTCCGCCCTACGCTCCTTCTCCCCCCTGCAGCCTGGGCAGGCCCCTGTGGGCCGTGCACCCAGCACCATGACAGGCTCTGGGTGAGTAGAGGTGGGCCAAGATGGGAGGGCACAGCAGCAGCCCCCAACAACTTGTATGGGTTTGGAAAGTATTGACAGCTGCTGTCTGTGCTTGGAGGGACAGGGTGGATGCCAGGACAGCGAGCTCTGGGAGCAGCGTGTGGGAAGGACAGCTGCAGAGCCTGGTGCTGTCGGAATACGCATCCACCGAGATGAGCCTGCACGCCCTCTACATGCACCAGGTGAGCGGCAGCTGAACAGTGGAACCGAGGGCTGCAGATGTAAAGGACATGGATTCCAATCCCCTGCCTTTTTTTTCTTACCTGCTTTGTGATCTCCATTCTCATACACCTTCTTTACAGCCTCTTTACCAAACATACTGTCATTCAGGGCCTTCGTATTTTCCATCCTCCTCCTTAGAGTCCACATCCTGAGACACTCAGTCCTCCTCCTCCTATTCATGAGACTTTCTCTGAAAGTACTCAGTAAGTCTTCCTTGCCCATCCTCTGACCCTTCCTGTTCTGTTTTTCCCCACAGCATTTGGCACCATATATTCATTCCTTTCTCTACCTTCTTCTTCCTCCTCATCTTCTGTCCTCTCCTTTTTTTTCTCCTCCTTTTTCTTCTTCTCACTCTCTCTCTCTGCCTTGTACTGCCTTGAACCACTGAACCCAGGACCTTCACACTGAGCTATATCCCTAGCCCCCACTCCTCTTTTTAAGACAAGGTCTAACTAAGTTGCTAAGTTGCCCAGGCAGGACTTGAACTGTCAGTCCTCCTGTCTCAGCCTCCCACACTGTGGGATTAAAGGTGTGCACCTCTGTGCCCAGCTTGTCTCTTTTTATTTAATTGTTCACTATCTGTCTTTTCCCCTAGTCACTACCAGGAGTGCATAAGCCCCCTTCGTGCTGGCATTTTTGTCTGTTTTGTTCACTGTGATGTTACCCTGCAATTAAGAGTGCCTGGCACTTAAACCCTGATCACTTTGTTCTTGAATGGGTAAAAGGAGGGCCCTTATACCTGTACACAGGCTCCTTCAAGGAGTCTGCTGGGAATGTAATCATAGAGCATCAGACATCTGTTGTATACTGCTAACACAGTAAGAGCTCTGGGTGAGGGATTCTTGGTATGAGGTTGAGTGTGAATGGGCTGATACCTTGGTGGGGTTAGCTGTTGAGACACCCTCTGTTCTCCTTCATTTCTCCAGCTCCACAAGCAGCAGACCCAAGCTGAACCCGAGCGGCATGTGTGGCATCGCCGGGAGAGTGATGAGAGTGGGGAGAGTGCCCCTGAAGAGGGCGGAGAGGGCAGCCGGGCTTCCCAACCTATCCCCCGCTCTGCCAGCTATCCTTGTGCTGTACCCCGGCCTGGGGCACCGGAGACTACTGCCCTACACGGAGGTTTCCAGAGGCGCTATGGAGGCATCACAGGTATCCACCAAGGCATCCAGGTGACAGCTGCTGGGAAGGGTTAGTTCCTTAGGAGAGGAAAGAAGTCAGCGTTATGCAGCCCAAGGACATTAACCCCCGGAGCACTCCCAACTCTCTCCTTCTTTCTTGTGTCTCTCTAGATCCTGGCACAGTGCCTCGCATGCCCTCTCACTTCTCCCGGCTGCCTCTTGGAGGGTGGGCTGAAGATGGGCAGCCAGCATCAAGGCATCCTGAACCTGTGCCTGAAGAGGGCTCCGAGGACGAGCTGCCCCCTCAGGTGCACAAGGTAAGTGCTCCAGGGCCTCTTAGGAACTGCCAGAAGAAGTAACTTGCAAGTGGAGTAACAGCTTCCCAGGTGAAGGAAGATGACCCCACCCCTATAGAGGTACTGCCCTGTCCCTTCCAAATACCCTGCCCTTCCTTCACTCAACTGCTCTGAAGTGCAAGGCTAGGTTTTCCTTCGTGTACTCCCTAGGAATCAGGCTTCCCTTTTCCTGTGTCTCTGGGCTCCTGTGGGGCAAGCCGATACCTGATGACATATCACCACTACCATGTGCTTCTCCCCACAGGTATAGACAAGATAGAGGAGTGTTCTCATGCCCCAGGATGGAGGCTACCGCTGCCCTGCCATCCCATCTGCCCACCATGGAAGGCTCCTTGGAGTGCTGCCTGGTTCCACATGTGTGGTGTTTGTGTGTCTGTGCCTGGCCTAGGGAGGTGCCAACAGTGGGCTTGAGGCAGCCCCAGGAAAAGAATTTGGGGCCTAGGAAGCCGGGGTGCACAAGACTTCAGCCTCATCCCCAGGACTCCCTTGGCTCAGAGTGTGGTGCTAGAAACTGGTCCCGGCCCAGCCCCAGTACTGCCACCTTCGCATCCACCCCTGCAAGTCTCCAGAGAGGGCTGCCCGTGACAGAAGCTGCCAAGCAGGGAGATCCTGTGCCAACTGTGGAGTCGGGGGGTCAGGCCTACCCCACTCTGATCAGGACAGATGAGCAGCTAAGGCTGTGGCCCTTACCTCACCCCAGTTCTCATCCAGTGCTGCAGCCAGCTCACCTCTCTTCTGCCTCCTGCACATCACCGGCATGTGTGTGCCTCCTGCCCCCCCCCCCTTCTGTTCGCTTGCTGCCCTTCTGTTTGCCTTTTGCTTTATGTTCTGGTGGAGGCCTTTGCCCCCAGCTCCCTTCACACCATCTTTTGACACTAAGGAGGAAGATTTCTAAATTGCAGGATCAGAAAGGAAATTCTTTACTGCCCTCTCCAACTTTTAGGGTAGGTCCATGGGAGACAGACCTTCCTGGGCCCCCATTGCTGCTTATTATGCCCCCATCATATGGAATGCACAGGGAGGGAGTGTGACTTGACCGTCTGCTTCCCAGCAAGAGAGCTCTGGACCGCAGCGTGCTGTCCAGGGGAGCCAGGGCTGCTTCCTGGGCTTTGAGCTGATGCATTGCATGCTGGGACTGAGCTCCTACCCTCTGGCCCACTCCTCACCCAGCTCTGGTCCACTGCAGAAGAGTGGTGAACTGTTCGACCTGAGTTCACAGCAGAGAAGGGTGAGGGCCATGTACAGCTTGATAACCCTTAATAAAAAAGGGATTTTGACCAGATCATGACTGTTTCCTGAAGCGAGGATCCTAGAAACAACAGGAGTGGGTGGGTGTTATTTCTCTTTCCCCAAGTTCCTGAAGACGGGCTGGGGGAACCGAGAGGATTTATGTCGGCTCTCGGATATCCAGCTAGCTGGCTAGCAAAAGGGCTGTTTCCGAGCTACACTTCTTGGAGGTCAAGGTTTCCCGCCTTGAGCACGGGACTAGATCTAGGGGACTCTATTTTGCCAGGCTGTGTGTGTGCACCCTTCCCCCCGCCCCTCCGAAGACATCTGTCCAATGGGGACCCTGGGTATGGGTGGCGGGCCCGCCTCCGGGCGGCGCCGTACTATGGAGGGCGGTGCGCGCTCAGCGCCTGCCTTAAGGCTGCGTCGCCCTCGGCCAGAGGGTCGCCGTCCGGCGAGCGGAGCAAGCCGCGGGGAGACAGCAGCGTACGTGCCCTGCGTGAGTGCGTGGCGGCGGCGCGTGCGCGAAGCGAGGGGGCGGTGTGGCAGGGTCCACGTGCGTCCTTCCCCGCGCCCCCAGCGGCTCAGCGACCCCGGCTCCATGACCTGAGACACCCAGCCCGTGGCCGTCCCGGAGCGGCTCGGCCGTTTCTCCCGCAGGCTGGAGCAGCAGCCACCAGTGTCACTATGGTGGCTGTAGGCAACTACTGCGAGGCCGAAGGGCCCATGGTTCCGGCGTGGGCTCAGAATGGCCTAAGTCCCTGCTTCTTCTTCACGCTCGTGCCCTCGCTGCAGATGACCCTGGGGGCCCTGGCCGTGGTGCTGGCTCTTCCCTGCAAGCGTCGAGAGAGGCCCACTGGCGCTGACGCACTGTCCTGGGGCACCGGGCCGCGCGTCGCTCCCTATGGGCTGCAGCTGCTTCTGGCCATGCTTCAGGTGGTGCTGCCCCTGGCTGGCCTAGTTGGCCGGGTGGGCACCGCCCGAGGGGCCCCGCTGCCAGGCTACCTGCTGCTGGCGTGTGTGCTGGAAAGCCTGGCTAGCTTCTGTGGACTGTGGCTGCTTGTGGTGGAAAGGAACCAGGCACGGCAGAGGCTGGCAATGGGCGTTTGGATCAAGTTCAGGCACAGCCTGGGTCTCCTACTTCTCTGGACAGTGACCTTTGCAGCTGAGAACTTAGCCCTAGTGTCATGGAACAGCCCGCAGTGGTGGTGGGCACGGGCTGACCTGGGCCAGCAGGTGAGGAATCTGTGGGGAGGAGGGGAAGCACAGATGCTGGGAGGTGCTGTGTCTGGACTTAGTGGCTCCCTGCTTTCAGATGACTCTTAGGCAAAAGGAAGGAGTGGCTGGCGCCACCTGGAAGCTGATTACCAGCTGGTGGGGTGTGTCACTGCTGAGTCACTGTGGGTTCTTTATGTGTGTGTGTGCTGGGGCCCTGCAGAAGTCTTGGGTGTATTGAGAGACAGTGGGATCACGGCCTTCTTTCAAACCTTCTGCACATTTTGTCCCAGGTGCAGTTTGGCCTGTGGGTCCTGAGATATGTGGTTTCTGGAGGGCTGTTTGTCCTGGGGCTCTGGGCCCCTGGACTTCGTCCCCAGTCCTACACCCTCCAGGTTCAGGAAGAGGACCAAGACATAGAAAGGAACCAGGTATACCTCATTCTCTGAGTGTCGGGGTATGTCCATGTTGCATGTCTGTGTGCACAGGCTTTGAGTTGGAACCCAGGGCACTGTGAATTCTAAGCATGTTTAGCTGTATCCCAGTACTTATAAACCCAGGGGCCTCTCTTGCTTTCATTCTTTCTTATGCTTACTGCCCATTATCAATTACTGCCGTTCTTCCCCAAAACTCAGTTTGTGACCTGGTAACTTTTCTGACTCCATCAGGGTTCACCTGTGAGCCTCAGATACCTGGCAGTTGTGGCCCCATATTCTTTCCTGAGGGTTTCTGGTTCGCACGCTTCTTTTTGATTTCTGAATTTCCCTCCCTTCGGTTGGTCATTATCCTAGGCTCAGTCAACAGACCAACGATCTACCTGGCGAGATCTTGGCAGGAAGCTGCGCCTACTGAGTGGCTACCTGTGGCCTCGAGGGAGTCCCATTCTGCAGCTGGTTGTGCTCTTCTGCCTGGCCCTCATGGGATTGGACCGAGCACTCAATTTGTTGGTCCCCATCTTCTATAGGGATATTGGTGAGGGAGAGCAGTTGAGCCCAGCCTGCTGGTTCTTCATTGAATTGGTGATGGGGTGCCCTTTACACAGTTGGGAACCTGTGTCAGAGAGGCCATGGCTGGTGCCTGGAGAGGTTTTGCCTGAAGAGAACACTGACTGAAGTGAACCCTGACTCTTTCTCCACAGTGAACTTGTTGACTGAGAAGGCGCCTTGGAACTCTCTGGCCTCAACTGTTACGATCTATGTCCTCCTCAAGTTCCTCCAGGGCGGTGGCACAGGCAGTACAGGTATGAGGTTATTACCAGCTCCTCCCGTGGGCCTTTGCTCACCATCTCCCTCTCTGAGCTTTGCTCTGCCAGCCCCTCCATGCTTGCACACCTTTCACATCCTGCCAGAGGGCCAGTGTCCCTTCGTGCCCAAGCCGTACTGTGGCACTGCTATCTCCCCCAGGCTTCGTGAGCAATCTGCGCACATTCCTGTGGATCCGGGTGCAGCAATTCACGTCGCGGCACATGGAGTTGCGCCTCTTCTCCCACCTGCACGAGCTCTCACTGCGCTGGCACTTGGGCCGCCGCACAGGGGAGGTGCTGCGGATCGTGGACCGGGGAACGTCCAGTGTCACAGGGCTGCTCAGGTACCATATGAATGGAAAGGGCATGAGAGGGTGGGGCTGAGAATCGCAGATAGAGGAGCTGTCAGGAAAATAGACCCACCCTGAATCACCACCACGCCCAGCCTATGTGTTCTGCTTCTTCCATACATTACAGGAGTAAGGTTCCTATGGTGTTATTATGCCAGTAATGCAGACAGAGAATAAGTGGCTTTTGAACTCCACTCCTCCAGAGTTTTCCTGTTCTGTTTAGTGTATTCAATTCTGCTTTATTACACATCTTTATACGGTTCTTTTAGACTTGTGGTTTTATAGGAGGGTTTTTTTGTTGTTGTTGTTGTTGTTTTTTCCAAGACAGAATCTTGCTATGCAGTTCAGGCTGGCCTTGAACTCATTATGTTGCCTGGGCTGGCCTCAAACTCACAACAGTGCTCCTGCCTCAGCCTTCTGAGTGCTGGGATTACAGGTGTGTGCCACCACAAGCAGTTTATGGAAGTTTGATTTTTTTTTTAATTATGTGTTTTCTAAGACAAGTTAAGTTCCAGAATAGGCATAATTTTCATAGTTGCTTAGCAAAACCTTAGGGAAAACCTTATCTTTGTAAGAAGGGAAATATATTTCCATCTTGTTCATGATAACTGATAGGGTTCTAGTCCCCCACCTCTTAAGGGGTGTCTAGATTGGTTCCAGGCTGTTCCTGTTGAAAATGAAGCACTACATTGAAGTTCTTCAAGGTAAGGTTGGTGACTCTCTGTCCACAAACCTCTGTCTCTTGTCTCGCCCTGGTCTTGTCTCGCAGCTACCTGGTCTTCAACATCATCCCCACGCTGGCTGACATCATCATCGGCATCGTCTACTTCAGCTCGTTCTTCAATGCCTGGTTTGGCCTCATTGTGTTCGTGTGCATGAGTCTTTACCTCAGTAAGTGCTGCCTAGTGAAACCATCTCCCTGCTCTGTCTGGGGACTCCCTTGGACATGAGCCATGCCCACCACTCGGGTAACCCTCCTTCAGGAGGCTGAGAATTGGTGGACTTGATTATGCTCCCACTGCACCTGGTGTAATAAGCAGGTGTCCTCAATCCAGCTGAACCTTAGCTCAACCTGCAGGGAGAGCCAGGGAAGGCATCTTTGTTACATCAGGTTCCTTCTGTGGTCTCAGGTGAAGGGAAATCCTCATTTGTATAGTAAGATATCTATATTAACCCAGAGTGTTTTCTGGACTCAAGTCTTTGTGCAGTCTGCAAACATGCCTACACATGGCTTCTTCCCTCGGTGAGCTTTTGGCTTCTCCCTCTGGAGTCTTGGTCCACTTTTGGTTATGTGGCAGGCAGCGGGCACAGTCTCTGCTCTTTAGGCTGATGTTCTGTTCTCTCTCCTACTTCTTGTTGTGCTCCAGTCCTGACCATCGTGGTCACTGAGTGGAGAGCCAAGTTTCGCCGTGCTATGAACACACAGGAGAACGCCACCCGGGCGCGAGCTGTGGACTCCCTGCTAAACTTTGAGACGGTAATGGGGACCTGAGCAACAGTGGCGGGCTGATGAGGCGCTTCAGGGGTGATAGAAGGAAGGAGGGATCAGGAATTCAGAGGGAAGGAGCCATGAGCCTTACACTGTTTGAATTCATCAGGTGAAGTACTACAATGCCGAGGGTTATGAAGTAGACCGGTATCGAGAGGCCATCATCAAGTATCAGGTGAGGATGTGAATGTGTGACCTGAGCATGGAGCTGGCCTATAGCTTGGCCAGAGCAGAGAGGAGGAAGAAATCCAGAGACTGAATTTGAGGGGCCTGGGCCCAGGGTGGGATTCAGTGATGTCTGTCTGCATATGGGACCTTTTTCCCTCCCGTGTCATTGCCTTCAGGATTTGGAGTGGAAGTCAAACGCTTCACTGGTTTTGCTGAATCAGACCCAGAACTTTGTGATTGGACTCGGGCTCCTCGCTGGCTCTCTGCTCTGTGCATACTTTGTCAGTGAGCAGAAGCTCCAGGTGAAGCAGAGTGACAGATGAAGGGGTGTAGGGAAGAGGGTCTGGAGCCTAGCTCTGAGCAGCAGCCTCCTGGAGGGGAAGTAGGTTTGAAGAGCAGGCCCCTGGCACACACCAGCTTCTTTTGGTCTCTGCAGGTTGGGGACTTTGTGCTCTTTGGCACTTACATCATCCAACTGTATATGCCTCTCAACTGGTTTGGCACCTACTACAGGTAACCTGATGGCAGGTCCTCACCTGTCGGGGTGCATTGTTATTTTCTGGCTCCTAAGAGGAGCCCAAGTGTCACCTTTTTGCAGGATGATCCAGACCAACTTCATTGACATGGAGAACATGTTTGACCTGCTGAAAGAGCAGCCAGAAGTGAGGAGAGAGAAGAGTGGGGCTTGGGGAGGGGGCTGTGTCCCCAGACCTGCAGTAGCAGTGCATTGGCTGTGTTCTCCCAGGTCAAAGACCTCCCTGGAGCAAGGCCCCTTCACTTTCGGAAGGGCCAGATTGAGTTTGAGAATGTGCACTTCGGCTACACTGATGGGTGAGCCCACACCTTTTGCCTTCTTTGTATTCCCTTTCCCACTGGCATACTACCTTCCTGCACTGAACCCCAGCTCTGCAGCCCACTTCCACCTGGGCCTTATGCCGAAGCTGGGAGGAGCGGGAAGCGGAGGGCCCAGTAGTAGCTTTGGTGATAGCAGGGGTCTGCGGACCCTGCCCACCCTTTCTTGCAGGAGAGAGACCCTGCAGGACGTGTCCTTTACAGTGATGCCTGGACAGACACTGGCCCTGGTGAGACGAGACCTAGCCACTTAGCCTTTACTCCTCGAGTTCCCCTCTTTCAGTATCCATGCCGGCTCATAGCCCAGGCTGGGGAATCAGAGCTCCGTCTTGAGGACCAGTTGGATTGAATGTGGCAGCTGTTGGGGGTGTTGGTGGCTTTTGGAAAGAGAGACAGAAAAGCCAGTGCGCCTGAGAATTTACCGCTTTTATTTCCAATGCAATAGGTGGGCCCATCGGGGGCAGGAAAGAGCACGGTGTTGCGTCTGCTATTTCGCTTCTATAACATCAACTCTGGCTGCATCCGAATAGACGGGCAGGATATTTCACAGGTGAGGGTGCTGGCAGAGCAGCTATAATTCAGGGGTCTAAGTGGACAGATAGCAGGGTATGGGCATCCAAAGTGAGTGTAGAAAATGCCACCTCTACAGAATTCTGGGGGCCTTCCTAGCACCACATGACCTGCTAAGAAAATAGTCATGGAACTTAGCACCACACTAAGAAAATAGAGATTTGCTCTAGTTCTGTCCAAGGTACAGCACTTCTGCAGCGGCCCAGTGAAGCAGGCAGACAGTATGTTACCTTTTGATGGACTGGAAAACAGACTTGGAGAGGTGGAGTCATTTGCCCACCCAGCTGGGATTTGCTAGTCCTTCCTACCTCCCAGGGGCGAGAGGATCTTACAGGCAAGCTGACTGGTCTCCTGGCCCCAGGTGACCCAGATATCTCTGCGCTCTCACATTGGAGTCGTGCCCCAAGACACTGTCCTCTTCAATGACACCATTGCCAACAACATCCGCTATGGCCGTGTCACAGCTAGGAACGATGAGGTGGAGGCTGCTGCTCAGGCTGCAGGCATCCATGACGCCATTCTGACTTTCCCTGAAGGTGGAGTTCCTCCTCCAAGAGTCCCCTCCCGTCTGTCACCGTCCTTTAATCTCTCTGACCTGTTTGATCCCTTCCTTGCCCACCTGGTCACAGAAACCAAGCTTATTATGTGTGATTTGAGGGAGGTGGGCGATATCCGCAGGGTACGAGACACAGGTGGGGGAGCGAGGACTGAAGCTGAGCGGGGGAGAGAAACAGCGAGTTGCCATCGCACGCACCATTCTCAAAGCCCCAGACATCATTCTGCTGGACGAGGTGAGGCCTGGGCAGCCTTCTCCCCTCGGTCCTCCCTGTCTGTGCCCGTGCCACTTCTACCCGGCCATTTCCCGCCTAGCACAAGTATCACCAGTCCATGTTTCACTAAACCCTTTACCCTTCTCAAACCCCAACTGTGCATTCCCGAGCCCTCGCTAGCAGCTGGCATCTTCCTGTTGAGGTCTTTGGGTAGCAGGGGCATTTTACCCAGACCCTCTCTGTAGGCAACATCAGCCCTGGATACATCTAACGAGAGGGCCATCCAAGCTTCGCTAGCCAAAGTCTGCGCCAACCGCACCACCATTGTGGTGGCACACAGGTACGACACTACAGGAGGGGCTGGGTGGCAGCGTTGGCCACATCTGGTGGTACAGCAGGTAACGGATCTCTTGACTTCTCAGGCTGTCCACTGTAGTCAATGCTGACCAGATCCTTGTCATAAAGGATGGCTGCATTGTGGAAAGAGGACGGTGAGATGCGCAGGATGAACAGGGCAGGGGCTTTGGTGGGGGGAGGATCCCCCTCACCTGTTCCCCCTTAGTGGTCCAGTGGCAAGACCTCCAAGGTGCACCTGATGAGTGGCGCTTACACTTGCCTTCTTGCCCCAGGCACGAGGCACTGTTGTCTCGAGGTGGGGTGTATGCCAACATGTGGCAGCTGCAGCAGCAGGGACAAGAAGAAGTCTCTGAAGACATCAAACCTCAGCCCGAGGCACAGTGACAAGCCGTGGCCTCTTCCCTCTAAAAAACTAACTCGGGACGAAGACACAGCCTTTTCCCTGCCTGATTTCATCCTGGCATAAGGGTGTGGTGCTAGCTGTCTGAGGGAAAAGGACCTCTCTAAAAAGCACTTCCTGGGAAAATAAAAGTGTACTTACTACTCAAGGATCACATTAGCTTTGTTCCGTGGGGCACGGGCCCTCCACCCTTAAGACACGACTTTGCTGTTTTGTGTTGGAAAGAGAAACAGCACTCGTATGTCTTACTGTCTGCCGAGATCTTTATTCTTTCCAGCCCCTCCCTGCCCACTGCATGTCGGGGCAGCCCTAGGGTAAGAGGGGTACATGATGAAGGGGGTTGAGAGTGGGGCCTGGGTAGCCCCCACCGAGGGCCAGCAGTTCCCAGCCACTCTCTCCCTGCAGCCAGAGAGCCAGCAGGGCCTTTCTAGGCTCAGTTTGTCAAGCTCTCTGCTGATGCTCCAGGAGTGGCCTCTGCCTCACTGCTGCTCATCTTTGTCCTCCAAGCTGCTCTGCACCTCCTTTCCCTGTGTACCCTGGAGATGTGAGGGCCACAGTCCTTCTCAGCCGAGCCTCCCTCCCCAAGCCCAGGACCCTAGCACAGGCTGCAGTTGGATGGCTTCAAGCTGCGGCTCTGCGCCTGGAGCAGAAGAGAGGGAGGAGATGGTGCCAAGTCAAGGAAAAGAGAGGGCAGGCCTTGTTTCAGAGTTCAGTGTAGGCTGCTCTCACAGTGCAAGCCAAAAGAACCGCCATCCCAGTGCTCCACCACTCGGCAAAACCCTTTGCCCAGTTCTTACTGCTCGCTCAGGCTCCTGTCTCCACCCCACCATCCTCATACCTGCTGCCGTTGGTACTCTGCCTCACTGGCGGAGAGGGCCTGAGCTAAAGCCAAGTCTTCTTCCTCCTGAGAACTGGAGAGAGGAACTTAAGTTGGCCTACGATACTAAAACATTTGAGCATGTGTTCTGTCAGGTCTCCCTGTCCTGAGCCCCTCTGGGCCTGACCTCATGGTCAGTGTTAGCATTTTTCTGAACAAATAGAGAATGTTAGTTTCTTGTGGGTTAAAGAGTTTGTCAGAGGTCATATAGCTCATTTTAATTTTTTTTGTCAGGACCTCCCTTTGAGAGTTTGATGAAAAGTTCTATCAGGGGAGCACAGCTACTCGTATACCCTGACTGAGGAAATGGTCCTCCTCTATAGGGAGTGGCCACCTTTGATGGACTGAGGCACTTTGGGAGGGGTGTGGGAGGAAGGAGAAATAGGCTCACCAGCTTGATCAGCCAGATGTTACAGCCTGACTGCCTTCACATCCCAGGGCCTCACTTTGTAATACAGGTTGGCCTTGAACTAATGGTGATCCTCTTGCCTCAGCCTCCCAAAAGTACTGGGATTATAGCCATACACTACAATGCCTGGATCGTTCATCTTAATCTTGAGCCCAAATTCCTGTATCTTGCTTTGGGTCGATGTCTCCAAAGTGAGCCCTTGCCCACATCCTACCTTCCTTTCTATCAGAGTAGATACCTTGGGACCTGGGATTTGGTCTCTGCCAGGGATAATTCCAGGGCACGTTGCAGTGCTTCATCTTCACTCTGTGAAGGGGGAGAGGAACACACTGCTTTGGACTTTACACTCTTGTGGGTTTGTTCATTTAAATTTTGGGGGTTTTTTTTGAGTCAGGACCTCACTTTGAGAGCTTGATTAAAAGTTCTAGCTTCTAATTGTTCTCCTCAAAAACAAAAAAAAAGTTCTAGCAGGGGAGCACAGCTACTTGTATACCCTGACCGAGGAAATGGTCCTCCTCTATAGGGAGTGGTCACCTTTGACCAACTGTGCAGCTTTGGGAGGGGTGTGGAGGAAGGAAACACCCGGCTCACCAGCCTGATCAGCCAAATAACCTGGCGATCAGTGGGGTGACAGACCACTCTTTATGTCCATCCAACCTCTGCCCAACTCACCAAGCCATTCTGCAAAGCAATCACTGGAGGGGCTGCCTGGGATGGAGACTGGGTTGTGGCTCTATGGAAGATATTCAAGAGGCTGAGGTCAGAGGCGTAAAGGGGTAGATGGGGAAAGGCACAGTGGCCAGGCCTACCTGCTGGGAGAGGTGGACGGTAAGGTCCGACTAGGGCTGGGGACGGTGCTTGTGGAAGCCAGGCTTTGTGCTCTCGAGATGGCAGCAAGTCTGTAGGGGAGAGAGACTCTTGGCATGTCTCCAAAAGCATGACTTACCCAGGAGTCAGGAGACTCCTCCCGACAGTGTGGAAAACCACATACTTCAAAACTTAAAAAGACTCCCCTGGCCAATGGGGACTGGCTGCCTCCCAATTTGTAAGCACAAAGGCTGAACTGGCTTCAAAAGAATGGGAAGTTCCCAAAGGTGAGGAGGAGACCTGGCGGCAATTACCCTGCCCGGCTGGTTGGGTATCCCTGCCCAGTACAGTCATGGTCCAATGGGTGACGGTGCTTGATACAAAAGTTTCGGCCACAGCGTTCACACGTCAGTTTCATCATCTCGCGCTGCCGGCACCCAGAGCGTTCACACCTATTGGTGAAGATCTGAAGTAAAGAGGAGAGAGGTTTGTAACTGAGTTGCTAGCCCTTTTCCAGCCCTGTCGCTGGAGTCAGATGTTTAGGTTTCCAGGCATCTACAGTCCCAGCTGGGCTGTGACAAATTCTACTATCACTCACCTTGCGTTTTTGCTGTGCTGGATCAGAGCGACAGTCTCTGTCAATGTGCTCTCCCACGGCCCGGTCAGGGGGCTCCCCTCTGGCCACAGGAACAGGTACATTACAGAGAGGACATACTGGTACCTGGATATCCTATAGTCAAACGACAGGGATCAGTCTGTGGCCCACTCCCATCCAACAAGCCTCTGATCCTGAATTTGGATACACCCCCCTCCATCACCACCACCACAAATGTGCAAGAAACACAGTGTTCCCCAGTACTGAGCCTCAGGAAGGCAATAATAGGGGAAATGAGAAGCGGACAGATGCTAAGGATTCTGCATACATCTGCCCTCCACTGCCTTTTACCCTCAGGAACGCCCCCTCACCTTTTGGTAAGCAGATCCACAGTGATGCTGGGCATAGGCCACATGGTCTGCGCAGAAAATGCCCGAGCAGGCATCGCACTTGAGCGGCAGAAAATCTGCAGGGACAGTCGGATTGCAGGTCCGTCCACTGGGACCTGGCTGCCCTTCCCTCTCAAGGATGCTACTTGGAAAGGAAAACACACCCCATCTACAGCCCTCCCCAGTACACACTCCCTCGCCACGCCTACTAGCCACCGCCCCCAACTTCTAGGCCCGCCCTCCTCGGCATTTCCAGCCCGGAAGCCCACCCTCCTCGCCGGATCGGAGACCCAAACCCCTTGCCTCCCTGCTCAGCACCGCACGCGCTCCGCCTCTCACCCAGGCGCTGACAGCTCGGCTCGGAACAGTGAGCCCCGAGGTCCGGAAACTCCATCGCTGGGCCAGATAGGGGTGCTGGGGAAAGAAATCAGTCCTGAGAGTCCCTAGGGCTCCCGCTCCGGATCCAGACAGCGACCCTGCACTCGGTGGGCTCCCCGCCCCGCCCCTTCCTCTCCCCCGCCCAGCCCGAGTTACTGGGGCGCTGGCGCCTGCGGCCGCAGCTCCCACCCCTCCCTGTGCGCGCGCGGGCGCACTGATGTCACCACGCAGGCGGGCGCGTCCGGCGCAGTCTCCGGCCTCAGGCAGGGCGTCGGGGCTGCCGAGCCGCGCCCTCCTCCGCGCAGCGCCGGCCGAGTGGCTGTCCCCAGGCTGGGGCGGCGGCGGCGGCGGCGCGGCTGTGCAGTCCTGGGCGAGCGCCCAGTGCCGCGATCGGTCGTTGTGAGAATTCAGGGGTGAGGGTAAGGTCCAGGGAAGGTGAACACGGGTGGTATCGGAGATTAGCGCTGCCTGTGGATTGGAAATTTCCACAGTTCGACTTTTGGTCGGCTTCTCACTCATCGCCCTTCCCAGGCACACGTGTGTTCGTCGCCAAGGCTGCACTTTCTCTCTCCGAGCTGAGAAAACGCCCATGTTTCTCAGTAGTACAGACTCAGCTCCCGAGCTGGAGAACCCTCCAGAGTTCAGCTTTGAATGGGGCCCGCTTTGCTTAGGAGCCCTGGTGAAGCTCTAGCACATTTTACTGTTCACAGACTCCTGAGCCCTCCTGCCTGGGCGTGATGGCTTTTTTTCTTATCTTCCCTGAAATGTAGATGTGGGGACAAGTAAACAAAGAAATAAATAGACTTTCAGTATCCTCCAATGTCCTCCTTTTGAAAACAGGCCAGTCTCTCCCTCTCAGTGTTCCTAATACAGGTAGAACGATGGGTGTTGAGTTCACCCCTCCACCTGCCTGAGCTCCGGCAGCACCTTAAGACTGTTCTGTATAACACCGAATCAAAGCACCTGCTTCCTCTCTCGCTTTTGAGCCTGAAAGCCCATTTCTCTGCTCATGAACAATAAATGTAACTTTTTTCCCACCATCGGGGGTATGCTTTGCAATTCTTTGCTTGCCTTACCCAAGAGCTTGGAGTGTAACTTTCTCCTCCTCCACTTTTGGTTTTGTTTCCCTGAGTCTGCTTCTTACATTTTCACAGCCCTAAGGCCAGTGGGAATTAAGATTTTTGTTTCCTGGTTCTTCAGGCAGAAGTCCTAGTCCCAGCTCCACTGCACCCAGTTGCCTTGGCTTGGGTCACCTGCCAAGTGACTTGCATGGTGACTTCCCATGTGCCTGCTACACACATGCACATTGATTGAACTACAGAGGCTTTAAGAAAATCCTAGGACAGAAATCCTGAGTGTGGGCTTGGAGGTGAAAACCCATCGGAGCTCACAGGAACTCTCCCATGCAGCTATCACTGGAATCAGAGATGGGCCCAGCAGATGTGGTACAGGAACAGTTGCTGTGTTTGGTCAGTTCTTTCCTGGGAATTTGGAACCAAAGGTAAGACACTCAGCATTGAGAATATAGTTGAGCATGTAACATACAAACCTTGAAATAACCATCTGCCACATTGCCATACTGTCCTACTGAGGGGGCAATAAAAGAGACTGTTACTGGTAATACCTGACTAATGTGGCATGATGAGCTAGCTCCATAAAAAGAGGTTGGTCCCAGCCAGGCGTGGTGGTGCACCCCTATAATCCCAGTGCTCCGATGTTAAAGCCATATCATTGCCCAAGTCCTGTCTGCTCCCTAAGTCTATAACCCCAGCAAAGCTCTAGCTAAGTGCCCTTACTCCACTGTTTTCACCTTTGTCTCTTTTGAGATAGTTACAGGTGATCCCCCATCAGAATCAACATATTGCATAACATGTTTGGAAAAATCTCTAGTCACAACCAAGTGAATGACACACTGGAGACTGGATCCAGGTGTGTGTAAGGGCCTGTGCCATGGGGATTCAGCTTTGGCATTGGTCCTTCAGAATGACAATTACCAAAGACCTTGCCATGCCAGGGATTTAGCTTAGTGGCATAAGTGCCTGCTGCACAAGGTACAAGGTCAGGAGCTCAATCCCTGGTACCAAAAAAAAACAACAACAAAGACCTTGCCATTTGTGAATTCCAGAGCCACCATGTGATAGTTTTATCTTGCAACATGAAATTGCTAATATTTGACTTGTCTTAAACTTACAAAACAACAGTCTCATATTGTCTAATCTTTTTTTTTTTTTTTTGAGGCAGGATCTTACATGTAATTCAGGATGGTCTCGAACTCACTATGTAGCCCATGTTGGCCTTAAACTCACTGCAGTCTTCCTGCATTAGCCTCCCAAGTGCTAGGATCCTAGACATGTACCACCATGCCTAACTTCATAGGTTTAAACTATTCTAAGCAGCACATGTCACTGGCAAGAATTATTTTTCTCTGCTCCTCTGTCAAATTATCAGGGTGTGCCTTTCACAACCTAGACACAAAAACTCACTGTGGGAGTATGGTTTAAAATCCATGCACCTTAAAATTAGACATGCTAGGTGTGGAGGCACATAGTCGTGATAACAGCACTTAGGAGCCCGAGGCAGGAGAATCACTGTGAGTTTGAGGCCAGCCTGAGCTACACAGTTGAGTTCAAGGTCAACCTAAACTATAGAGTGAGACCCTGTGTCAAAACAAGCAAACGGGCCAGCGGTTTAGTGGCATAAGCAGCTGCCTGGCAAGTGCAACGTCATGACTTTGATCCCTGGTACCAAAAATAAAAAGCAAACAGAATTTCAAATTTGCCAAATATCTGTGTGCATTTGTTCTCAGACGTCCACTATTTTCAGCTAATAGAGTAGAAGAGAATACTAGGTAGGAAATGGGTTAAGCTGCTATAAAAGAGACTCAAAATAACAGTAGCATAAATAAAAAGGAGTTTTGTGCCTTGCTTGTGTAATAATCCAAGACTGGCATAACAGCCAGGGTCCCAGATGCCTCCTGTTTTATTTGCTCTTATCATTCCTAACATGTTGCTTTGTTTGTGTGGTCCCAGATGAGTCCTTCCAGGAAGCGTCATGTAGAGGGAGAAAAGGATACATGTTCCTGTCATTTAAGGATCTGAGCCTGAATCCATGTGTATTGCTTCTGTGTACACATGCCCTCGCCAGACCTAGTCACATGATCATACCTGGCTCCAGGGAAGCTGGGAAATGTAGTCTTTATCTGGGTGGCCATTTGCCTAGATAAAAATTCAATTATTAAAAAAAAAAGTTTTCAGAGGGCTGGGGATTTAGCTCAGCGGCATAAGTGCCTGCCTTGTAAGCATGCAGTCGTGAGTTCGATCCCCGGTACCTATAAAAAGAAAGAAAGAAAAAAAAAAGTTTTCAGTTATGTCAATGAAGGAGAACAGATAGTTGGGAAATAACTAGTGTCACAAAAGGAAATAGAGGATGACTCTCACAATATTTAGCCCATTTAAGTTTGATGTAATAAGGCAGGAATTAGGTCATTTAAAGTCACAAAGCAACCAAGATCATGTAACCCATTTACCCCAGCTCCTGGGTTTTGAGAATGAGAACAATAGAATTTAGTGCTACTTTGTCAGTCTCTTACTGTAGGAAACTCAGTTTGTCTCCCCAACAACCACTCTTCTATTCTCCTAAGGGCACAACCTTGATTTTAAGCATCATAGTCCAAGCAACTGTGTATGTGTTTTGTTTTTTTGTATTGGGGATCGAACTCAATACCTTGCACTTGCGCAGCAGACACTTGTGCTGCTGAGTTAAATCCCTAGCCCAGGCAACTATGTTTTGCACAAGTCTTTTGTGCAGCCCCAGGGTGAATCTTCAGTGGTCTAAATCAGTATTTTTTGGACTTTTTAACGATTACCATGATAGGAACTATATTTTATACCCAAAATGAGGAAGGGCCAGTCACCACACTATTCCACTTTATTCATCTCTCATTCCATGTTTTCTTTCTTCTTCTTCTTCTTCTTCATTTTTGTTTTTTTGTACCAGAAATCTGAACTCAGGACCTTGTGCTTGCCAGGCAGGCACTATGCTACTGAGGTATTTTCTGGGCCCTCTATTTGTTTCTTTAACTGTTTTCTTGTAGGCCACTCTCTTCTGCAGTCCCTCTTGAGTGCAGGAGTGACAGATCAGATCAGTAGACATCTGTATAACAAGGAAATGAAACTACTCCAAGTAACGGCGAGCCAAGCAGGGGCATCCATCCCATACAGGAATCAAGGCTCCCCGCACCCCACCCCACCTCCTGCAGGAACACTCACTCTATAGCATGAACAAAGGTTTCCCCTAAACGTGAGCCTGGAATTGTGCCTTGAGTGATGGTGGCTTTCCCAGAGCCAGCAGTACCTGCCCTGCCTGCTATACAACCCCTCAGCTGTCTCCAGCCCTTTTCTCTAATTCACCAAAGCTTCAATCTTCCCCCAAAGGTGGATCTGGAACCTTTTTAGCTGTGCTCCCTGGCATGGCCACGTTGATCAGAGTTCCTTCCCTGCCCTTCGAAACTGTTTGATAGCACACTGGCATTTTAGAGTGGCGGAGCCTGCTCTGTGGGAAACCCTGAGCCAGAGCTTTTGCCCTAAAACTCCAATAACAAACACACACAGGGTACAACCTTGATGCCTGATCTTCTGTTTGATATACTCATACTCTACTCAATTCTGTTTCATTTTTTTTAAAAAGTTCTGGTTGGCATTATTAACTTATGTCCTCCCATTCCATTAATTAACTGCAACCTGAAGTTTGAGAAAAGACTCAGCTGCTTTGAGTCAGTTCATTATTCTCATTCCTTTTAGGTAAGGCATGTAGTTTAGTCTGTGTATGAAACAAAAATTTATCCTAAAATTCTAAAAAACCAAAATCCTAATTGTTCTTTTATTATTGTTGTTCATAATGGGGATCGGGCCTCCCTCACCCTTTCTGTTTTAGACAAGGTCTCACTGTATAGTTCAGGCCAATCTTGAATTCGATGTATACCCCAGGCTGGCCTCAAGCTTGTTCACAAAAATCTTCCTGCCTCAGCCTCCTGAGTGGGATTTCAGGCATGTACCACTTCACTCAGTTCTTTTTTCTTTCCTTCTGGTTTTTTTTTTTTTTTTTTTTTTTGGTACCGGGGATCCAACTCACGACCTCACGCTTGTCAGGCAGGTGCTTGCACTACTGAGCCAAATCCCAGCCCTTAGTTCTTTTTTCTTTTGAGACAAGTTCTCATTAAGTCATTACATTGCTTGGTTTGGGCTCACACTCCCAATCCTCCTGCTTCAGCCTCCTGAATGCTGGGATTATAGGCATGGCAACTGCTTCCCTTTCACTGTGTGGTTCTTTGTTTTGCTTTATTTTCACAATAACTAGGAAACAAACATAAGGCCTTATGTATATGACAAGTGCTGTACCACTGAGTAATAGCCCAGTCCTCCTTTTTTTTAAATACAATTTTAGAGGTTTTTAAATAAACCTACTTCATCCTTGTCTGATACCCTTGAGAATCATAACTGTCATCATAGAATATTTGAGTAAAAACTTATGACTTATAAAAGCAGAATTTATAGCTCTATAATGTCAGCCTGCAGAAATTGATATTATGTTATTCTTATATGGCTCTGAAGAGACCCCCAAATGTATTACAGGTTTTATTATTGTTCTTTTTTCCCCTGTAGAATGTCAATCAACTTGGCATTTAAACTACTAATTCTTTTCTTTCATTTTTTTGGAATGTATATTTCTTTCTTGAAAATGCTCAGAGAACGTTTTATGTGCTTTACTAGTTTTCTCATTGCTGACTGACTTTAATAAAATGCTTGCATGTGCCTAACATCTATTTGGATGATTATTTCTGTGCTGAAAATTACCTGCAACATTCGCATGCAGCCATTTTGTAACCATGAGTGGAAGCAGACAGAACAAGAAAAGAAAAGTGGAAAATACCCAGGGCCATTGATGAATTCACAGCCTTGGATAGCACAACTGTATTCTTATAACGCAAGAGCAGATATCATCATTAGCAAGGTTTCATAGTCTGCAACCTAAAACTTCTTTTCAGATGCAACTATCCTAGCAGCTCAGTCTTATTAAAAATGAACATTTCAGGTTTGGGGATGCAGCTCAGTGCCAAAGCACTCACCTAGCATGAGCAAGGCCCTGGGTTCAATTCCCAATGCTACTGAAAACAAATACAAAGCAAATCACCAAAAGTAAAGCAGGATAGAAACAAGCATTCGACTAGACCCATTGGACTTATTGCCTGATCACTGAGCTTCCCAACCAACCTTAAGACCTTCCCCTTACAGATCTGCAAAGACCCCGATACAGTGATATTATATTACATTCATATTCTGTTTGCTGGTTTTTGGTTGGGGAAGATGGCTTGTTTTGTCGGAATTGAACCCAGGGTCTTGTGCAACTACTAAGTGACACCCCAACCCTCTTATTTTTTTGTTAATACAGTACTAGAGTTTTTAAAATAAGCTTACTTGACCTTGGTCTGATACTCTTGAAAATCATAACTGTTGTCACAAAATATTTGACTAAGAAGCGATTACTGCTAGAAGCTCTGAGCTGATAGCGTGTTTACGTCAACCTGCAGAAATTGATAGGAGGTTGTGCTAAGCAAGCACTCTTATCATTGCCCGACATCCCCAGCCCAATGGTCTTTATTTTAAATGACTTTTCACACTTTCCAGATGCTTTCACTCATTTACTGTTTCTCTTGGTGCTGGGTATTGAACCTGGAGCCTTACATAGGCTAAGTATAGGCTGCACCACTGAGTTTCACCTCCAGACCCTTTGTATTAATAAATGTCAGATTTTCAATAATTGTTTTCAAGTTGAACAATAATCAGTTGGTTTCAAGCATTACATTTCTTCGTTTTACTGTTTGTATTTGTTGGTGTGTTTATTCTTTTTAGAATTGTAGGCTTCCTGTTGGAGGGACCTTGAACAGCACCAAAAAAAAAGAAAAGAAAAAAGAATGCTGTCTGTTTCCCATTCCCACTGCACAAATGTGAAATAACCAAAGGTACAAAGAACACAGGAATCAAATCTTCAGAGCTGTACCTTGAGCATCTACCAGAATGGTCTGTGCGTGTGTGTGTGTGTGTGTGTGTGTGTGTGTGTGTGGGGTTATTGCTGCTGCATTTGTGATGATGGGGGTTGAACCTGGGGCTTTGAACAGCTCCCTCATGATAAGCAAATGCTCTGCCAATGAATTCCACCCCTCGCCCTCATGGGATGTATTAACTGCATACCAGGCTTACCGCAGAGATTGTGCAACCCCAAGAGAGAAGGCATTTCTCCTGCTATCCCTTCTCAGGCACAACATTTCCCACCATTTATTTCCCAGACAACCGTGTGTGCCAGTTAGCATCGCAGGGGCTCTCTACTGGCTGGTCCTGTCTTCTTGAGATTTGAAAAGAATGATGCAGGAACCAAAGTTACCACTCCCTCTGCGTCATTTGGCCATAGGCTCCTTACTTCCTGAATAAAGGAATGGAGAACACTGAGAGACATACCAACAGCATTTTGCAGCCCATACAGCTGTTTCAGAAGGTATCAATTAACAGACGAACAAAGCACACTGAGACCTGCTAAGCAGCTCTGTGCACCAACTCAGAGTAACTCAGAGCTGCAGCCTCTCTAGGGAAGAGCAGGCATCGCCTCCATCACAAATGAGCCCTTGTGCCTGACTTCAGCTTCAGCAGGTTTAACACAGGCATGGTCAAAGGGAGGGCATCCAAGAACACTGTCTTGGCTTTGATTCTGTGTAAACAGGTTAACAGAGACTAAGTTACTTACTGATGGAGACAAGATCTGGACCCAGATGTTTATGTTGCCTTTGGTCTTATGTTCTTTCCATTATACAAAATCCTTTTCTATAAGTTTACTGTATTCCCAGTCGTGATGGTGCAGCCTGTGGTCCTAGCACTCAGGAGACTGAAGCAAGAGGATCAACAGTTCAGGGCCAGCCTGGACCACATATCCAGACCCTGCAACCCAAAACAAAAAACTACAGTCTCCTTAGGAACTGGAAAGAGAATTTCTCCCTCTCCTTCCCCTTCTCTTTCCTCTTCATCATCATCTTCACCATCATCATCATTACTGGTGGAACTGGGAATTGCTGAGGTACTTCCTCAGCCCTTTCAAAAACAGTTTTGGAAGATAAGATCTCCTGGGGGCTGGAGACTTAGCTCAGCAGCTTAAGTACCTGCCTGGTGAGCACAAGGTCCTGAGTTCAATTCCTGGTATAAAAAAAAGATACGTTCTCATTAAGTTGCCCAGCCTGGCCTTGAATTTGCAATCTTTCTGCCCCTGCCTTCACCGTAGCTGGGATTACAGGCATGCACCACCATGCTGAGCTAAAAAAAGGGATCTTAAGTGATGTTTTCTTTTGTGGTGTTTATGGAAATTTGCTTCATGATTTGTTAATAATCAAACATTTATTAGCACCAAGTACTCAAATATCTAATCAAGATAATCAGGATAGGGAAGCTCTTGGAGTGGAGCAGGCTTCTAGCCCCAGGAGATGAGCAGGTTAGTATCTCTACCTCTGCTGAGGTTTGCCTTGGTCTCTCAGGTGTGTGATATACAGTATTTGTGACAATACCCAGTCACTTGTCCTCATGTGTCCCAGCTCCCTGGGGAGTTAATTTTAAACTCCTAGTTTAAACAAATACTATAGTTCAAATTCATGGCTTTACAGATTGCTAAGTGATTTCATACACAGAAGATTTAATTCAGTCTACTAAATTTTGACTGAGTCTTGTCAGATCTTGTACCAAAACCTGGCTAGTGAAGGCAGGTAACTGATGATCTTTACCCCCAAACTGTGCAGAGTTTGGTAGTAAAGACACCGTGAACGGGCAGGCATGGTGTTGTACATTGTAATCCCAGCACCCTGGAGGCTGAGGCAGGAGGATCATTGCAAGTTTGAGACCAGTGTGGGCTACAAAGTAAGCTCAAGGCCAGCCTGAACTGCATAGTGAGACCCTGTCTCAAAAAGACAAAAAAAAAAAAAAACACATGAGCAACTAGCTGAAAGAGAAAAGTGTCAAATGTGGGGGTCTCAAACATTTTCAGCCTGACTCATAGTAAGAAATACAGTTTACAATGAGCCACCCATGTATATGTAAAATAGAGAATAATGTTGTTTAAGGTCCACCAGGGGATTTCACGAACCCTTAGTTTAAAAGCTATGTTCTAATGGACGCACAGAAGGCCATGGGACATGAAATGGAAAGTAGAATAGCTCAGGAGCGGGGAAGAATGCGGATGGGAAGGAGCGAGTGCTCTTTATTTGTTTTGTTTTTTGAGGCAGGGTCTCTCTGTGAAGCCCACACTGACCCTGAACTAGGTATGTAGTCCAGGCTGGCCTTAACTCACAGTGATCCTCCTGTCTCAGCCTCCTGAGTGCTAGGATTATGGGCGTACCACCCCACACCCAGTGCAGTATTCTGTGCCCAATGCAGTGTTCTGTAAGAAACAAGCCAAAAATTCTAGTTAGAGCAAGGATGTGGGGGAACTTTGCAAATATGGTCAATTAGCCTCACCAAAGTGGCACAGAGGAGCCCAAATCCAGGGCTCAGAAAGACTGGGCATTGTGGCACCCGCCTATAACGTCAGCATCCTGCGAGCTCAAGTGCAGCAAGGGCAAATGAGTGACACAGTGAGACCTCTCTCAAAATTTAAAAAAGGATGGGTGCTGAGTACGTAGCTTAGCATAGAAGACCTGGTTTGAATCCATAGACACACACACACGCATCAGGAAGGTCTGGACTTCCTGATGAGTGCTATCAAATAAAAGTGCACATTTATATTTGCTTCCTTCCCAAATCCTGCTAAAACAACAGGCAGTAAGCAGAGCAAGGGGAAAGGAATTCAGAGGGAGAGGACATTTTGGAAGCTTGGAGAGCTAATGGAAAAGGACTGGGGCTCCAAGCAAGCTGAAACCTAAGTACAGATCACAGGGATGCATCCGGCTGGTGCGGACCCGGGGCGAGAGGAAGCCTCTGAGCTCAGAGCCCCGTGAGGTTGCGGCTGGGAACAGACGGTAAATTATAAACAGGTTTATTTTGGTTTGTGGTTCTCAGCCAAGGGTGAGGGCCTGCATCTGTTGATGGTCTTCCTGCTGGCAGAGTCCCAAGGCTGCAGGAAAAAGGAAGCACAGGAAAGACCTGGCCAAGCTGACTTTTATAACAGACCGCTTTCAAGATATTCAAGATAACCCTTTAACCCTTAGCATGAATTGATGGGTCCATTCATGAAGACAGAGCACTCATCTGCTCTTCAAGGTGGTGCCTGGCTCCTCTTCTAATATCTCATGATGGGGATTATGTTTCTCTTTTCTTTCTTTCCAGTACTGAGGATCAAATCTCAGGCCTCGCTGTTTTTTGTGTTTTGGTTTTTTTTTTTTTTTTTAAAGGCCCTAGGTTCCATCACCAGTACTGGGGCCCTTACTGGGGATGGAACCCAGGACTTTTGCATTCCTAGCCCTTTTTTATTTTGAGACAGAGTCTTTCTAAGTCGCTAAACTGCCCTGAGGCTGGGCTCAAACTTGCAGTCCTCCTGCCTCAGCTGCTGAGAGTGCTGGTTTGCAGGCGTGGGGCACCACACCAGCTTTCACCTTGGCCTTGAAGAGTGAGTCAGGGTCAGCCAGGGGGAAAGTAGAGATGCATGTTTCAGACAAAGCCGAAAATGTCAGGGAATAAGGGTGAAGACAAAAAATCACAGATCCTGCACTCGTTCTGTTCGCAATACCTCATTGGGGTGGAGATCGTGATATTAAGTTGAATGGTCTGATGACTGTCATTATTTTGAAATTTAATGCTTAGGGATGTCTGTCTGCACAAGTGGCAAGACGAACTGAAAACTCACCTCTTGATTCCAAGTTTACTACTTTGTCCATGCAGCCAAAGGGCAGTTTAATTTAGACCAGTGACTCTTAACGGGGGCGGTTTTGCTTCCAGGGGACATTTGGCAATGTCCAGAGGGCACCTTGGTTGTCACCTGGGGGTTGGGGTGGGAAGGTAGGGTGGGGAGGAGGGCATCACTGAATCTCAAGTAGAGTCGGCAGCTAAGGCCCTAGGAGAAGGTTCTATAATGAACCAGAAGCCACTACTGCCAAAGAATTGTCTGGCCCAAAAGGTCAACAGAACTGAAGTTGAGAAAACTGATTAAGGTTGCAGTTTAAAAACAAAGCTTTTCTAGCTGGTTGTGGTGGTGCACGCCTGTCATCCCAGCACTCAGGAGGCTGAGGCAGGAGGATCCCTGTGAGTCAGAAGCAAGCCTGGGCTACATGGTGAGACCCTGTCTCAAACACCTCCCCCACTGGAGTGTTTTTTTTTTCCTTAAGCAAACCCAGTTTATTTACATGACACATATTTTGCCTTGCTGCTTACTGAAATGTAGTCAGTGTAGTAAACAAAGGCAAGCACTATCTTGCTATTCAAAAATATCTTTCTATGCCTAGAAAAAGTTGTTTTTTAAAGAGTTAACTAGATGGAACCTGAAAGAAGTGCTGGAGGGGAAGGGCCCCTGGGACTCCTTGGGATTCCAGCTATCCCATTTCCCAGCTCCACCTCCCTGCTCATTGCCTCCCTGATGTTGGGGACCACACTCATAGCCAAAGGCACCCCAGAGTCCTCTGTGTCTGCTCTCCTCAGTCTTGCACTTATCTAATACTCCAGCTAACTCAGCTTCCAGGTGGGAAACCAGGGAACCAGAGGACAGTTCTTGTCCTCCTCCCAAAGCTGGGGGGTAACTATAACCCTATAAATCACTATGATTTAAAACAGCCATAGGTAATTTTTAAATGTACTTGTAAAATCTGCAGACAAAGACCTTTTATTGTTTACAGATAGGCAAAATTAAAAGCTAGTTTAATTAAAAGTGTTTTAGTGCTGTAGCTGGACATCATACTTCTAATCTTTTTTTGTTTGTTTGTTTGTCTTTTTGAGACAGGGTCTCCCTATGCAATTCAGGCTGGCCTTAGGCTTACTTTGTAGCCCAGGCTGGTGTGGAATT